AAATTACATAAAGTATATTCATTTGCTTCAAATTAAAATGGGCTAATGGGTTTTAAAAATGATTTGGGCTTTAAAATTAAAATTATGAAATAATCTGATTTATTTAATTAATTTGCTAATTTGTATAGAAAAAAATAAAATAATTTAATTAATTCAATATAAAGAATAAAAAAATTATTTAGTTTCGGTTCTTATTCGATTTTTGGTTTAGACCCAAGACCCGACTCAAACTCATAGGTTCTCGATTCGGGTACCCGTTCGGGTATTTAATTTATGAAGAACCACTCGGTTCCGGTTCAGGCTCGGTTCGGGACTTTTGAACACTCCAATTTAAAAATCTTTCTTTTGTATTATTATTATTATCATCATCATTGGCAAAAGTATTGTCAATTTTTTTAAAACAATTAATATATATTAAATCTCAAAATTTATAAAATCACAAAATAAAAACATAGTAGAAAAAATATCCCAATAAATTTATGAGATCTGCTGCATGTACAATCCTTAATGGACTGTACACAGTGTGGGCTGTAAATGTACAGTTCATTAAGTATTGTACAAGGGGTTTTTCTCTAAATTTAAATGGTGGAAGTATGTGTTATTTTTAGAATATAAATAAATCTAGGACAAAGAAGAAATATTTAATTACTTAAGATTAAAATTGATATTTTAATTATAATAAATTAATAATTGAAAATTTTAAAAGCAGAATCTTATATGCTACCATTTTGCCTTGTCTCAAAAAATATGTTAAATTGTACATATTTATCTATAATTAGTTTTTCATAAATTTACCAAACACTTGGAATTATTTCTGATTGTTTAAAATGAGAAGTTGGGCTACAATAGTGGCAGTGGTGTCAATAAGAAGCGTGAACATGATCGTTAAAGTAGATGGTTGTGGTGGCGAAGACATAATGACAAGCAACAACGACGATGAAACTCATCGCAGGTTGTGGTGGTGGGAGTTTAATGGAGAGAGAGACTGAGAAGGGTGGAAAGGTTGGAGGTCTGGATGGATGTAAATGATAGGGAGAAAGTGGGAGAGGGGATTATTTTAAATTTTTTTAAGGTGGTACCTGATTTGTATAATTTTTTCTCAAACACCTGATTTTTCAACTTTTAAAAATAAAAGCATGATTGGTCCTAATTTCTTCTTAG